CTAGTAATTACCACTAACTCTGTTGGACTGACCTGTGTAAACCGCATACACGTGATTCGCAAGCCATGAAGAGTGCCCTGCACTCTGAGAAACACTACTAGACATCACCATTCGCTGTGAAGATTTGGGCTGCGTCTCTCTGCACTGATCTCCTCATAGGACATTTCTGCATTAGCTTTGAGTATTCAGGGTAAAACTCAAGACAGCTGTCAGCTCATGGATTAGGAACGTTTAATATTTCAGCAAAAGTCTTAGATTATCATGATTAATTTATTTTTCAAATAGAGCGGGGAGAACTAAAATCCCTTGCTAGGACATAGGCAAAATGAATGGCCTGTTATATCATGTAAAAATGCTGTTTGGCACTTTAGATCAATCTTATAATAGCTGTAGTCCAGTCAGTATTTGTTTAAATTTTGGAAAATCTATATCAATTACTGGTGCACATCTTAAAGGTTGCTCTGCCTTCGGCTGATTAAGTAATGCCCTCACAACGCTGAAGACGGGACACTGATCTTGCTCAAGAATAATGCCCTTAGATGGGTCGATTTAGGACATGTGAAAAGCACTCCCAGAGCCACATCCCCGCTGCTGTTTGCAATATATGAGCCTTTTTTTTTCCCTCTACCGTGAAGAGTTTCTTCTATTTTTAATGTGCTTTATTTTGGCTCAGAAATAGTTGCTGTGATGAAAATACTCCTTTGTTAGAAAAAAGTCAGTGACATCATTTTAAAAGGACCATGAGCTATTAAAAAAAAGAAAAAGCCATAAGAAGTAATTTCATTTCCATGTCAGGGAAAGCTCTTGATTATGTTAACATTGTCTTAAGATAAGATGATTTTTTTCCTGCTTTTAGGGCTATAATCAAAGAGATTTTATATTTATATCGTTATAGATCATAATTGCAATGTAGTGAGTTATGCATGCTGACCAGTGTATAGTGAAATCCGGAAGATTAAGTTACTAAGAAAAGCAATAATTTTCTAAAGCTGTGATATGGGTAATACAGAGTTGCTAGTCAAATCCTAATAAAGCTCTTAATTCATATTGTGAAGTGTAGAACACTACTTTTTATAAAGCCATATTTTTTTAGGGAAACTTAGGAGTGACATAGAACTGGTAAATGAGTAAAATTTTGCTGCAGTTTTGTCTATAATCATCTCTGCAGCTCTGGAAATTGAGGATTCATTATGCTGTGGTCAACTTCAAATACTTTTTAATTCCAAATATCTGACTTAATGAGCCTTGCCTTTACAAACACATGCTAATCAATGGATTTTCTAAACATAATGTAAATGTCTTCTGTTTAATGTTATTTGAGTGCAATAAAATGCAGAATTCTTCTCTATATTGTCATTATTGTTATTTTGTCATATAGCAAAATCAGTTCATCTTACTCTTACTAGTATTCTAGAATATTACAGTATCTTTGATGTCTGAAATCATGAGAGTGTACCTTCGACTCTTTCTTAACCTATTTCTAATAGGTAATGTGTATTTTGTTTACCATTTACTCTTATGATACACTTTTGGGGGGAAAGATTGAAATAGCCCCTGCATCCATCCTCTGTAGGGTTTTGTTCGTTCGGCACCTAGTAGTTTCGGCACGCCCCACCCCCCTGTACCCTCCTGACCCACCCCCCACCATGACCATTGTACCATCAGGACATTAACTTCATCCTAGTTGAGAAACAGAAAGAGTCTGAGCAAGTGGAAGGGCAGAAAACAGTACAGCAAGTTCTCTTTCAATCTTCATTCTCTGGGCAGAAAAGGAGACCTAGAAAATTCCAGAAAGTGTTGTTTTCTCCTCCAGCATGCCCCGAAGAAACGTTAACCATAAAGACTTTGAACCCAGAATAAGTAGACCCACTTTTATTGACCTCATTTTCTCTGCTCTGTGCTTCGTGTGTGTTCGGGGTGGAGGTTTCCCAGCAGATGGGGATTATGCCTGCTTGTGGACAAGAATGTTCTGAAGTGAGCCATGGGCAACAGGTGGCAGGTGGAAGGAGTTGGGAGGAGGCCAGGGTGCAGGCGGGAGAGCAGGTTGGAGACGAGCCAGTAATAGTCGGGTGATGGCGGTCGGGCCTGACTCAGGAAGTCCTGGCAGGGGCCCAGAAGAAGACGGGAAAGCTAGACCGGAAGACTGGGCGGGGGGGGGGGGGGCAGTCGGCGGGGAAGCAGAGCCCTAGGCCTGGGTCCTGGGGAGTCCCCGATGCCAGTGTAATAAGCTTGGGAGGACCAGACCTGGAGACAGAGTAGCTTTGGGACGTGCCTCGGGTCCAACGAGAACTGGCCAGTAAGCAGATCAGCACGGTATCTGGGACATCATAGAGTTCAGGAGTTTAGAATCCACCACAGTGATTTTGTTCAGTGGTTCATGATAATTTTTGAACAATCAAGATCCCATTCTTTTTAGTAAGATTTTTCTTACCCTGAAAGGGAAAAAAAAGAGTAAGTACCGTTAGAGATTGCGGAACATTTTCTTCGATGTGAGTGCTTAAACACTAAGTATGAGTTACAAGTGAACTTGTACTTTGGTGCTTTTCAGAATTGGGCTGGGTCGATGGAGTTGATGGGATCATCTGCATTCAGTGCTTAGAACAGTGCCTGGCACACAGGAAGCATCCAAGAAGTTGAGTTTCCTCTGTGCACAATGAGGTCCGCAGAAGGTGTCTCAGAGAAGCGCGTGTACAGAGAATAAAGTAAAGCAGAGTAACACTGTTACCTGCGCAGAGTATTGTGAGGTGAGCTGGGTCTCTTAGAAAACCCCTTCCCCTAAGCCCCATCTCAGCGCTGAGAATCAGAGAGGCGAACGTGCCTGCTCTCTGTGCATTTCCCCGCATCCAAATACGAGTCACAGATATTCGCGTGTTGATGTGAGGGGCACGAGAGAGAGCTTTGGCCCAGAGCTGGGGGAGTTTGGGCTGGGCCTTTTTATAGGTCAAGCTCATTGCCCCATCGTAGGTGCTGTGTTGGGGGAGCAAGAAAGATAGTGTCCCTTGTTCCTGAGAGCACGCCTGGCCAGGGCCCTCTCACGCCTGTTTGAAGTGTGATCACTTCAAACCACTCCTCCTACCTTATTAACCTCCTTGGGGCAGATGTATGGAGAGCCCTGAACTCTTCTTCGTGACCAGTACCCGCCTATTTTCTCTAGTCCGGTTAGAAGCTTGCATTTTGTGCTTGAGTTTTCAAATGACGCTAGCCGTGCACCAGGTTGCTGAGGATGTGGAGGGTCACAACCTACCTTTGGAAGGACTTCTTGAGGACTGAAATTGTTGATGATTTCCCTCAATCCTGTATCCTTGATGCCTACGAAAGTGCATTCTGTTAAATGATACACTGCCTAACTTTTTGATAAAGAGGTTATCGTTAATAAGATCAGAAATTCTAGAACATTCAACAGGGATCTAGAACGTGTTTTTGTTTTTAAATTTCCTGTGTCCGTCCTGCAGCACTGGCCACAAGTGTGTGGCAGTCAACTTTATAAAACCCACTCTTTGCAGAAAGCGAGACCTGCATGTCACTATCCCTTGTTTCTCTTCAAAGATTATATGCTTTGGAGGGATGTAAACTGCTGACTTTGATAATGTCAGGCGTTCTACTTTCTCAGCCTCAGCTTCCTCCTTTGCATGGAGGAAGATAAGACCTCCCCATAGGGTGTGAGGAGACAGGAGACAGACACCACGTGCTTAGACCGAGCCTGGCTCACTGTGGCTTTCAAATGTTGCTCTCTTCTTCTCAACTAGCATCGCAAAGACACTTGACCTATGGAAATTCCTTCCTTGTCTGGGAAGCCTGCCTTAGATTTACTTTTCACTTCTAAAAAATGACAAGTTTGATAACATAGGGAGGAAACTGGGAAGCAAAAAGTCTAGTGTGTTCTGTGGTTGTATCCCTGATCTCACCCCAGAGCCTGGGCTATGATGGGGGAAGAACTGAGTCTGATTTTTTATCCGTCTACCAAATGCTGCCCTATCCCAACTCCAACATACATGCTAAAACGTGTTCCAAGAAATACCCAAAGCCAGCTAAGTACCTACTGGAACTATAAACAACTGGTCTGCCGGAGCCCAAGCTATATTAAACAATAGGCTGGATATGAGATAATGCAGAAATGAGGTTATACGTTCAGGGTCAGGTCAGGCACCATAGTTTTCCGTGTAGGGGCGATGTTTGACTGGTCAGGTTCTGGGTGGGTTGCCCTCAGCCCCATTTGTAGGGCAGACCCTGTGACCGTGGTTTACCTAGTGAGAGGCTGACACAGGTAAGCCATTGGCTTCTCGGCACCTGGGCTCAGTGCAGACGCCCTCAGTGGGCCACCTGTGTATATGTGAAGTCCTTAGGGAAGGGAGACTGGTGTCACCCCAGTGAGGGGGACATGCTGTATTTCTTTAAAGCACACAAGGCTATTATAAAGTACTCATGATTTTAGGAGACAGTGCCGTCATTGTCTCCTAAATGAGGGCTCCTCTCCAGTTTGCCTTTGCTCCCATGGAAGCACTTACAGTTGGTGGGGATGAGCCACAGGTGTGGAATACCTAGTTAGCCAGGTGCCTCATCCCTGGTTATATTGTTCAGTGACTTTTTTTTTTAAGAAAGAGAAAATGAGCAGGGGAGGGGCAAAGAGGGGGAAGACAGGATCTGAAGCCTGCTTCACACTGTCAGCATGGCCTGACGTAGCGCTCGAACTCATGAACTGTGAGACTCCTGCCCTGAGCCAAAGTCGGAAGCTTAACTGACTGAGACACTCAACACCCCACCGCTCGGTGACTTTTATAAGTAATTCAAATGAGTCTAATCTTAATGTTTTGTAACAAATTTGTGGAATTCCACAGATTCTTTTGTGGAAAGAATTTAGGGGTTTGGAAAATTAAATTCTATGCCCAGAAGTATTTTTCTTAAATTATATTTATTTGAATCCACTTAAATATGGTCCTATATTTTGAGATATTGAATGGTGACTTTCACAATACTCATTTTGTTTTGTCTTTACTTTTCAGAAACAAATAGAAAAGCAGATGATCCAGAACAAAAAGAAAAAGGTGAGATTATCAGATAAACAGCCCTTCAAATATACATAGGAAAAAATCATCATAGCATTCACGAATAGCATGATGATTTTCTTTTATATTACCAACTAAAAGAAGTTGTCTCTGGGTTTCTTATTTCAATGATTTTATCAAACATTTATTAATATTTCCATAAACATTAAGAGCCAAGGCTCTAAAGAGAACTTGCCTGGCTTTTAATCCTGGTTTTGCCATTCAGTATATGTGTGTCTGAAAATCCCTTGCCTGGTATGCCTCAGTTTCCTCTTCTGTGATACGGGAATAAGATAGTACCAAGTTCAGGAAGGAGAGAGCTCCTGCTTCTACAATAGTAATTGGATGAAAATATGTGTAAAGGGCTCAAAGACAGGGAAAGCACTTAGGAAACACTAAATACGATTGTTTATGGTAGCATCAGTGCCAGGAATAGAGATCCAGAGATTACCAGAACATGTTCTCTTTTTTTTGAGGAACTCTGAATTGTTGGAAAGGTAGGCAAACAAGGTTACATCCATGTAGAATGAATCATCTCTGCCTTCCCCGAGGTGATTCCAGTGGGATTCCAAAAGTTTAAAAACCCAGTAGAATTTTAAGTCAGCTCTTCTTACAGTGAGGAACTAAGTTAAAAAATGGCATCGATGATCATAGAATGGTGCTTATGCTTTAGTTTTCATATTCCACTCGTCTTCATTCTTTCCAGTCCTTGACATTTTCAAGTATTTAATTCAAGCCCAGTCAATAAGAATCTCTAAATGGTAAATACAGCTACAGATTTTAGCCCTCATAAATCTTTTTTTAAATAAATTTATTTGTTTGTTTCTTTATTTTCATCATGATACATGTGCTCTTTAACCCCCAGCCCCTCACCCCAGCCCCTCTGGTCACCTCCATTTTGGTCTTGTAGTGAAGAGTCTATTTCTTGGTTTTTCTCTCTTTTTTTCTCCCGCTTGCTCATTTGTTTTAAGTTCCTCATGTGAGTGAAGTTTATGGTGTTTGTCTTTCTCTGACTGACTTATTTCACTTGGCATCACGCTCTCGAACCCCATCCATGTTGTTGCAAATGGCAAGATTTCATTCGTTTTTCATGGTTGAATGATATTCCATTGTAATGAAGATGTGTATACCCCATCTTCTTTATCCATTCACTGATCGATGGACACTTGGGCTGCTTCCATTGTTTGGTTTTTGTAAATAATACTGTGATAAATATAGGGGTACATGGATCCCTCTGAATTAGTTGTTTGTTTGTTTGTTTGTTTGTTTGTTTTTAGGGGGTAAAGAGCCAATAGTGCAATTATTGGATCATAGGATCGTTCTGTTTGCTTTTAGTATCATTTGAATGATAAACTCTTTAATGATCGAGCAGTATAATTTCATAAATGCCTTTAACTTTTAGTGATGAAAGCAGTGTCTACACTTGAGAAGATATAGTAGATACTATATTTACACATAACAGGTTATACTGTACAAGATATACACAGTCTTAGTGTATAAATAAAACTTGATGAGCATCTGGAATTGCTAGCCTCCAGCTGTAATTTGGTAGCCCTTCGGCTGGGAATTGGACATTTAGTCATGTATTTTTTTTTCCAGACTACTTGTATTTAATTTTTATCAAATTAATACAGATAGAGTTTTTAAAATACTGCTTTTCATGAAAAGAGTAGTCTTCTACTACCACATTGCTCCCTGTCTGTGAGTCCCATTCCTCACTTTCTTTTAGCTATTTCTTCCAGTACTTACCTGCACATGTCTAAATAATTTGCTAATTCTGCAGGTTTCTCCTCAGTATTAGAAACTGTTGGTTGGCTCTTATACATAGATGATTGGGATTTAGCTCAGTCCTTCGCAGGTTCTCCATGCTGCCTCAGCTTCCTAATCTTCAGTGGGTCGTGACATACTCTGATCATGATAAGTAAGTAGCCCTCTTAGCCACGGTTTTGTTTTCTGCGATTTCACTTAACTGTGGTCAAATGTGGGCAGGAAACTGAGGATCCTCTTTCTGACGTATCGTCAGAAGGTCACCAGTAGTCTGATTCTACACCATTGCCTTCATCCTTCACCTCACTTCATCGCATCATGTCCGCGTTGTCATAAGTAGGCTGAGTACAGGACGGCAAGGTGTTTTGAGACAGAGACAGAGACCACATTCATGTCACTTTTCTTCTACTATATTGCTCTACTTGTCCTATTTTGTTATTAATATTGTTAACCTCCTACTGTGCCTAGTTTGTAAATGAAACTTTATCATGGGTGTATCCGCATCAGAAAAAACTTGGTACATATAGGGGTCGGTACTGTCTGCTTTCTGGCATCCACTAGGAATCTTGGAATGGATCCCCGCAGACAAGGTGGGGGGGGGGGTGGCTGTACTGAGGAGAAAAACAAAATAAAGCAAGAGGGAGGAGGATAGCATCAGTGTTTGGATCGATCCTCGATTCCAGAACCCTTCTTTCACTTGGTTTGCTGATATCACATCCTACTCTCTGCTGTTTGCTTTGTCTCAGCCGCTTCGGGTGGTTGCTCATCTCCCTGGCCATCCAGCACCCAGGCGCCCCCGGACTCAGTCTTCCGAGTATTTCTCTATCTGCACGCTGTCCCTCTGTGGTCTTACCTCATCTCAACTCTGGTCCCCAGGCAGCCTGGGCGTCTTCCCTAGAAGGGCTGTTTTCTCAAGACTGGGGTGTCCTGCTAATACCCGCTTCCTGCCTGAGAGCCTCAGCTGGACATCTAATAAGCACTTCAAACTCACCAGATGTAAACCGAACTCCTGACCTTCCCTCCAAACCCACTCCTCCTACGAGGCGTCCCTGTCATGCTTCCCTGTATTTCTGCCAGCAGACCCTGTGAGTCGGGCTTCCACTGCCACCCGCCACCGCCACCCACCGGTTCCTCGCTCCCAGCCCCCACCGTTTCTTGCCCACATGCCTCCCCTTGCCTCCTGACTGTTCTTCCTGTTTCCGCTGTCTCAGTAATCTTTCTCAGTACAGTAGCCAGTGTGACCCTTTGAAAACCGAAGCTGTGTCATGTTGCCCAGAGTCTCCAGCATTTTCATACCTTCTTCAAACTAAAACGAAGTGGGGGCGCCTGGGGGGCTCCGTCGGTTAAGCGTCCGACTCTGGCTCAGGTCATGATCTCACAGTTCGTGAGTTCGAGCCCCGCGTCGGGCTCTGTGCTGGCAGCTCGGAGCCTGGAGCCTGCTTCGGATTCTGTGTCTCCCGGTCTCTCTGTCTCTCCCCTTCTCATGTTCTGTCTCTGTCTCTCAAAAATAAATAATAAAGTTAAAAATAAATTAAAAAATAAAATGAAGTCCTCGGCAGTGGTCTACAGGCCCTCCTAAAATCCATTCTCCCTTCTGCTTCCACTGGTTTCCTCCCCAACACCACATCCGACAACACTCTCTCCTTTGTTCATTCTACTCTAGCTACCCGGGCTTTCCTGCCAAGCACGTATGGACTCAGGGCCTTTGCACTGACGATTCCCTCCAAGCTGACTTTTCTCCCCAAGAACCCACGTGGCTTGCCACGGCGTTTACTCGGCTCTCGCCTTCTCAGTGAACCTCCCTAACCTCATTTCAGGCTACACCCCCTTCACTTTCCCTACCCTGCTTCCTTGCTTTGTTTTCTCCATACCACTTACCACCATCTGATTATATTTGATAGTTTAATTCTTTGGTCTTTATTGTCCGAACCTCCGCCTAGAATTAAATTTCCATGAAGAGACGTTTTTGTCTCTCTTGCTCACCACTGCATTTCTTGTGCGCAGCACATGGTAGTCAGTATTTGTTGAATGAATTTCTGCTATGTTTTAATTACTAAGGATTAATATGAGCAGACATTATAGGCTCTTTAAAACCCAAGCTCTTAAGTAAGAAGCAACACACAGATAGAACTCCTAGAATGGAAATTTGTGGGGACCCAGACTTGAATCAGGGACCTTGGGGTAAGGAGACTGCTGTTGTCACATTGTCATCCCTAAGGTGGCTGAAACGATGACATGTTCCCCCATGACCTCGTACGTCTGAGCCCGGTGGGTGTGTCAGCATACCCATGCTGTTTGGAGCGCAGAACTGGCGAGTGTTAACGCATTCAGTACACTTATAGTTTCTTCTTCCAGAAATGAGGATTGTGATTCTTACGCCTCACAGGAGGATGAAATGAAACTAATATTTGTAAAGAATAAATGCAGTCTGCTACCACCACTGCCATCCAAATATCCGGACTTCGGTTGCTTTTGGTTAGCAATTAAATGGGTGGATTTGGGGTGGCTCATAAAGCTGCGCCAGTTTTTCAATTTTGTGAAAGCAGTGCTTTTCAGAGACCCATGTGTACTGTCATAATCGGTTACAAAAGCAAAAGTATGTTCAGCCCCCAAAGTAATACACATATAATGAAGAATAAAGGGTGGGGTTTTGTTTTTTAGATTGAATAAATTTAGCTGTGGAGGACAGAGGCTGCTCTTTACGACCAAGTTAGCCGGGGTCTCACTCTGTGACCCCAGATTCCAACCCCTAGTGTGACAGAGAAGGAGATAAAACAGATCCCCTTTGCCCTTTGTTCTGGCTTTCCTGCCCTGTATTGATTAAGGAAAGAAACACTTTTAAGGAAAATCCTGGTTTTCTTAAAAGCCCCGTTTTTACCCTCCTCCTATGTCTTCAGCATTTAAGTTAGATTCAGACCTTCCCTACAAATCACCACATTCCCATTACAATTAAATATAGTGACATAGAGTTTTTTAAAACCTCAAGTTGCGGGGGCTTGAACAATGTAACAGTTTATTTCTTATCCACATAAATAACCGAGGGCCTGCTGAGTGGCTCCTGAGGGACCTGTCTCGTCTCTTGCCATTCTGCCATCCTTAGTCCATGACCTCATGTTCCAGAAGGGCCATTCAGGCACCAGCCCTTATCACCGCATCCGGATAGCAGGAAGGAAGTGGGGGGAAGGAATAAACTTCTTGTGAGAACTACATTTAACTGATAGAATGTTGGTGAA